CTCGCGGCGATCGCTGCCACGGCGGCAGGCAGCGCTTCCTCACCCCCGGCTCCCGGGATGATTCCCGGCAGCTCCAGGAGGAGCTTGCCCACGTTTCACCAACAGGAGGCTGGAATAACTCAACTATTCGGGCAGCTTTCACACCTCTCACGCCCATACCAGAAAAAGGCAGAAGCAAAGAGGTCTCACCTGCTGCTGAACTCCCACCTTCTGCTTCCAACCCCCCATTCGGGGTCACTAATGCAAAAGTCCAGCAAAGATTTTATTGGAAAACATGCAAGCACAATCGTACCCCCACCTCTCAGCCACCCTCACCATCTCAGGATGGCAGGCAGCCGTTTCTAGGCTGGCAGCAGGAAGGCAGCCTCTTCCATGAGGACCATGATACAGTGGCTTTGGGAAGGGTTCTGGGAGCCCGGGCTCTGGAGGAGATGCCCAAGGAGAAGAGGCTGCCCTGCCTAGCCCAAGAAACAGCCACTTTGGGGCATACCACCAAAGTTGGGGGGTGTCCCCCTATCCCCAGCTCTGTGCCTGTTCCAGTTCTCTCCCACCAGCCCCTGGAAGCTTCCCAGCAAATCCCTTTTATAAAGCATTAGTTGGTGCCTCTAGATCTGCCCCACCTGGGCCAAAGTCCAGGGAAAAGTTAAACTCTCGGCTCTTGGACCCACAGCAGCCCCTTTTCCCCATTCCAGAGGCACAATGGGAGCACAACCTTCCCTTCTCCCAATCACCATGCTAAAAAAAAGAGCAAAAAGACAGAAAAATCTCAAAAATAAACCCTGAGGCAGCAATCTGCCTGCCTTTCCATTGGGATCCCCCCCACACCACCACACAACACACCCTGGGAAGAGTAACCACAGCTGCCCGTAGGGGCTCTGGAGCTGGGAAAGGCTTCCTGCCTGGAGGAGGAGTGATGGGAGAGGCCCAGCCCTGTGTGTTTGTGCTCTGGTGAGGGATGACTTCAGCATTTAAAGGTCAGAACGGGTTGCACAAAGGCTTCCAGGGATGCCAGTCCTTGCAGGGCTGGGGGTAAATGGGATAGGTCTAGACCCCAAAGTAGAGCCCCTTGGGAAGGAGCAGCAGTTTTTGGGTTGGATCTGGAGGAAGGATGGTTGGATGCCACCAAGAGAGAGGCTCCCACTGCCACACCAGAGCACACGGCCATGCTTCTGGCACTGATCCGTCACCTCCCAGCACACTCTCCCAGAGAGAGGAGGTGATACAGAGGCTGAGCAAACACAATAACCTGAGCAGGCGAGTGTAGTAGCCAGGCGGAAGGCTTTAATAATTCAGGGAGGACGAGGAGCATGGAGAAGTGGGTCAGCTCCCACGGCGTGGGCTCTGGGCTGGGAGCAAAGCTGCTCCAGCCACTATAACTATCCATTCCCAGTGGACAGCAATGCCCTGGGGCTGCCAGTCCCTCCTGTTTTGCCCACAGAGCATTTTCCTTGGCTCCAAGCCCCGGGTACAATTACAATTCCAACTGCTATTCTTGTTGGGGAGAGGGAGCAGCCCAAAAAACTCGGTGCACACACAGCAAAGCTCATGCCCTGGCTGTGTGTCCAGCAGCACTTCCCCCACCCCATCTCTCCAAAGCTGTGTTTTTCAGCCTGCCTCTCACCATCCCACGGGGACTGCCGATGGATTTAATTTCCCTGTCGGCACCCACACCCACTCAAGCAATGTTTTGGGTTAGGCCAGCTGAAAACAGCACAAAAGAGCTCATCCAGCTCCTCCAGCGCCTGTCTAGGTGTTGTCTTGTGGATTCCCAGGCTTATGATGCCATGGGATGCAGCACATCCTGCCCCTCTACCCCAGGTGAGCCACGGGAAGGCTCCATCCATGCACATCATGATTTTAGGGCAACCTGAGGGCAAAGGGCAGCTCTGGGGTGTGTGGGCAGAACCTGTCTGGCAGCACAAGGTTCATCCCCGTGGTCTGCCAAGATCCAGGTACGGCACAGGGTTAGGAGTGGAGAAAATTGTTGCCTCCAGCTGGAGATGAGAGATGCCAGGGCTTTAGGGTGGCAGTGTCCCCAGGGATGGGTGGGTGCTGCTGGATGGGGGGAAGCGGTCCTGGGAACTTCCGCAGTAGCTCTGAACTCAGCCACATACTTGTCATTCCTGGAGGGTTTGCTGGAGAGGCAGGCAGCCTCACTGTAGCCTTGCGAGGGGGCATGGAAGCAGGAGTGAGGAGAAACACCAGCCAGGGAGAGACGGGGCTGTGGTTAACACGTACCCAGCATCAGCCTGTGGACCCCCATAAAATCCCTTCCCCTGCAAAGCAGTGTCTCAAAGGCACAGCCGCTGCCCCAGGGCATCACGCCCTCTTCAACTTTGGGGAAGTGGGGAAACTAAGGCACGGAGGAGGAGTAAGCCCTCTGGCACACGCCGTGCAGAGGCACAGACCCAGCTGTGTGGCACGTGCTGGCAAACACGGCAGCAGTGACGCAGAGCTGGGGAGAGGCCAGATGATCTAGGCATCACCCCACACGCGGACAAGGCACCCTTGTTGGGCTGGGATGTGCTCCAGCACACAGCAGACCTGTCTGAGCTGGGGTGGGGAAGAGTTGCCAGGGGTATCCCAGGGGGATTACAACCTCTCCCTTTCCCCCAGCTGCAGGAAGGTGCCACGGCTGCTATCAGCCCCCACATCCTGAGCGCCGAGGACGAGGATTCCCCAGCAGAGGAGCTGACCTATTCCATCCAGCCCCCAGCCAATGGGAAGGTTGTCCTGAGGTCAGCACCCAGTGCTGAGGTCAAGATGTTCACCCAGGCCCAGATAGACAATGGCCTTATCCTCTTCGTGCACCAAGGTAGGGCAGGACTGAGGTGCCTCAGTCCCCCTGCACCACCCCAGGGTGATGGGGACGCTGTGCCATCAAGGTGGATGCCAACCCCATGGCACAGCACCCTGATCCAAACCCTGCCAGGTTAATGGGGGGCTGCATCTCCTCTACCCCTTACAAATGCCCTGGTCTGTGCTTTCCACAGGACCCCTGGATGGAGGCTTTGCCTTTGACCTGTGGGATGGTGAGAACCTGTCTCCTGGGCACTTCTTCCTCATCAGGGCCCAGAGAGAGCCCACCATCAGCCTGGCCAAGAAGCAGAGCCTCACCATCTGCCCAGGTGGGTACCAGCACATTCCCTATTCTCCCAGTAGATTAGCAAATGGGGCCTTTGAACCACCTACCCCTGCCCAGGCACTGCCAAGATGCCCATGGCAGAGGCTGCAGATGGGTGCAAGATGACTGGTTAAAATCCATACTGCATGTCTTTTCCAGGTGCCCGGCAGCCCATCACCAGCCAGAACCTGCAGGCAGTGAGCAACAGCCCCGCCAGCTCCACCACTCTGTACTACAGCATTGAGCAAGCCCCACGCCTCGGCAGGCTGAGCACCTCCCAGGGGGAGGAAATCAGGAACTTCACCCAAGCCCAGGTGAGATTTCACCTCCTCCAGCCCCCCAGAACCCCAAGCACAGCCCTTCATCAACGCCCCCCACCAGCACAGGGGTCCCAGTCTGACCCCACTGCCACGACAGGCGGGGGCACCTGATCCCAGGCAGGAGGCAATGCGAGGCTCCAGCCGTGCTGTGACTTTCCCAGCTCTGCCAACAGCTGCTAAGACGGATTAAAAGCTGCCGCCCCAGCCTTGGATTTAGCACTGGGGGAGGCTGATGGAGTTATAATCCCCTTCCCTGAGCCATCTCCCTGCTGCAGAGCCAGCCAGCCAGCCTGGCTGCTGCTGAAGGGAAGAGCCAAGCACGATGCCTTCACCCCTGCTCTGAGAAAACCTTTCTCCCATGGGGCCAAACTTTTGCGGAGCACAGCAAAGGTCTTATTTTATTCCATCACTCAGAAACACGTAGGTTTGCCCACCCTGGAAGTTCCTCTGTGCTGTGCTCACCCTTGGAGGATGCTGAGCAAGCTTAACCCTTCATCTGAGCCTCAGTTTCCCCAATTGCCAGGCAGAAACATCATAGAATCACAAAATGGAATCACAAAATCTAACTTGGCCTTAAACACTTTCAGGGATGAGGTATCCACAACTTATCCTGGTAGAGATACACCAGGAGCCCTCCATAGTGGCTACCATGCCATGACTACTGATAATCCCCCTTTCTTACCTAATTAGAGCTTGGTTGCTCCATCCCAGAGTCAAGATAGGAGCTCATTGAGGGTTTTTTTAATTTTTAGGTGGACAGCAAGTTGATTTTCTACCAGCATGAGATGCCAGATAAGCCCTTCTGGCTGGCCCAAGATGCCATCCGCTTCCGCATCGTCACTCCCACGACTATCTCAGATTCCTTCATCCTCCTCGTCCTGATCTCCTTCGAGGAAAAGTGTCCCCAGCGCTTGACTCAGCTATGGAAAAACGCAGGTAAAGGTGGGATGGAGAAGCATGGGACAAACCTCCTCTTCAGGAGGGCTTGTTTGGCTGAAGAAGACACCACTGTGTTGTTTTCCATGGTTGATATTATGTCAAACATCTAAAACTGCATCCAATTCTTTCCTCCATCACCCCAAACTCTCACCAACTTCTCCAAATTGATTCTCATCCCTGGTTTTCCCTTTCCCCCCCAGGTCTCCAGCTCACAAGAGCTCAGAAGGCTGACATTGACACCTCGGTGTTGGATGCCTCCAACCTCCTGAGCCAAGTTCTGGTCTCTGAGAGAGCTGGATATGATGTTGTCTTCCTGGTGACGGAGCTACCGTCTCATGGACAGCTCTTGGTGGCCGGTGTGCCTCTGGAACGGTCACAGCCGTTCTTCCTGCAGTCAGACCTGGCAGTGGGGCATTTGGCATATGCCCATGGTGGGGACAGCATCTCCAAAGACCATTTCAGTTTTAAGGCTTGGCTCCGCCCCCGGGAACAGCAGTCTGTCCGTCCTCCACAGGAAGGGGTGGTCATCTCTGAGGTGTTCAATATAACAGTGACCAGCAGCACCAAGTCACCGCAGGTGGTGAAGCGGAAGGAAGTGCTGCAGGTCCCACCAGGCTCTGTGGTCACCTTGTCCCGGGAGTACCTGGATGTGGCAGACCCATCGGTGTCCCCACAGGAGATGGTGTACAGCATCCTCCGGAGTCCTCCCGCCGGCCACGTGGCCAGCGCACACAACCCTCGGGAGCCCATCAACCGCTTCACCCAGGCGGATGTCAACGCTGGCCACGTGGTGTTTGTTGCCACTGGGAGCCGTGCCCCTGGGTCCTTAGCCCTGAGCCTTTCCAATGGCCACCACCCACCCACCCTGACCTTGCTGGAGATCGAGGTGCTGCCTGCGTTGAGCACCACTGCGAGCCCGACACTGCTGGAAGTGCCCCAAGACCTGAACAGAGCCCCCGTGTCCCACCGTCACCTCCTGGGCACCACACCACGAGGGGCAGGTAATATCCTGTACAGGATCACCAGGGGCCCCAGGTTTGGCCAAGTGCTGGTCAACCAAAAGCCATCACGGGGCTTCTCGCAGAAGCAGCTGGACCGCAGGGAGGTGATGTTCACCTTCAGCGACCTCACTTCTCCTGAGGACGACTTCCAGTTCCTTGCCACGTCGCGGGCAGGAAACTGGACCGGGGTGGTAAATGTGACTGTCCATGCTGCAGTGAAGACCCAACCAGGCAGCCTGTGGCCCCGGGGCACCACAGCCCTCCTAGACACCAGCATCCTCGATGCCAGTGAGCTGGCCAACCGCACCAAGAGCATCCCAGTCTTCAGGGTCCGCAGGGCGCCCCATGCCAGCCGTCTTGTGAGGGTATCCAGGGACCCAGGACAACCCACCACCCCGATTGAGACCTTTAGCCAGAGTGAGCTGGAACAAGGGCTGGTGGGACTGGAGGTGCTGGCTGCTGGGGACACCCACCAACCCCTGCAGAGTGACAGCTTTGTCTTTGAGCTGGTGGCTGCTGGCGTGCCACCAGCGCTAGCATCCCTGGAGTACAGCATCGAGCCCTACAACGCCTCGAAATCCTATGGCATCACCCTGCTCACAGCCCCTCTGGCACCTTCACCCCCCGTGCCCCAGGGCACAGCACAGAGCAGCCCCAATGCCAGTGAGCTGGGCATGCCCCCCACTGCCTGGCTAGCCCCCAGTGCCACCACTAGCCCCAGCCCCGTGGAGGGGGGCACCTTCCTCAGCTTCATCGAGGCCAACATGTTCAGCATCATCATCCCCATTTGCCTCATCTTACTCCTGCTGGCCCTCATCCTGCCCCTGCTCTTCTACCTGCACAAGCGCAACAAGACAGGGAAGCACCATGTCCAGGGCACCCCTGCCTCCAAGGCCAAGAACGGGGCTGTGCCTGACCATGAGACCTTCCGGAGGACAGACCCCAACCAAGGCATCCCCCTAACGACTGTCAGCGCCCTGGAGGGCAAGGGCACAGGTCCCCCACCCCAGGGCACAGGTCCTGGGGCACCACCAGACCCTGAACTCCTCCAGTACTGCCGGACTTCCAACCCCCCACTGAAAAACAACCAGTACTGGGTGTGAAGGGCTCAGGTGCAGGGGCAAGAGATCACCTGGGAGTCAAGAACCTCCCACAGCACCACCGGCCACCTCCTCCTGGCTCTCCTCCTCCTCCCTGGGAGCTGGCATCCCATAGATGCAGGAGGGCCCTGAGGATGCAGGGGCTGCTGCTCTGGCCCACCTAGGAGCCCCACATCTCCGGGTGGCTTTGGGCAGGGGAGGGGGGTACTGCATAAGCAAGTGGGGACAGGCAAAATACATGAGCATCCCTGGGGAATGCTGACTTAGGGTGCTCACTTGGGCTACTTGATGGTGGCCACAGTGCTGGGGGATCTGATGGCACTGGTCCCTTCAGAGCCACTCAGGCAGGTCCAGTGGTGGCTCCTCCGTGGGCAGCACCATCCACCCCAGGGATGCTTCCCACAGCTCTTGGCATGAGACGGAGGATGAGGAGCGGCTTGCACTGAGTCAGGCTGGGGATGAAGCTGCCCAAATCCCCCAGGGCTAGGTGGGCTGAGACACTGGAGCAGAGGCTCGGAAAAAACTCTGTGGCCAATGCCAGGAGAATTTAGGAATCCCCACCCACTTGGAAAAATACCCGCCTCGCTCTTTCTCTACTTGCAGTGTGCTTCCTCAAGTTGATTGCACAGAGCCCTGGGGAGGTTGCACAACAGGTAGGATGCCCGTAGTGGGGAGGGGGGGACGGAGTTTACCTGGGCAGCATGAAACCGGAGAGGAGAGCAGAGAGCCATAGCCAGCGCCGTTTTCCACTGTATACTCCAGTACGGCAAAAGTAAACAGAATAAAGTGCCTTTTCCGAGGTGCATCACTGTTTCCCTAAGCCACTTCCCTTGCCAGGCCTGTTTTAAGCTGCTGAGCAACATTTGGAGGTAATGGCCCATATTCTGGGCTCTTGCTCAAATTTTCCCAAGCCTGGAGTCCTAAAAACTTAAATAGAAACTGTCTGAGGAAGGGCAGAGGAGAAACCGAGCAGTGAGCTCAGGATGGGACTCGACAATAATACCCTGCAGTGCTCCAGCTGGAAAGCTCATCACAGGGCACATCCTGCTCTCACACCACCCATGGGGAGCTGACATGAGCCCTCAGGGACCACGGGGGACCACTTGCACCCCTCACCCAGGATAAAATCCACTACATGAAGCTTCCCCCAAAAAAATCACCCACTCCAAGGCTGCGGCAGAGTTGGGATCTTTGCCTGGACCACGCCAGCAGTTTTCCTGGCTGGGTTTAGGGTGCCAAACCTTTGCTGAGCAGTAAATCACAACTGCCCTGCCTCAGCTGGCAGGTGCTGGCACATTCCACGGGCACCCACAGCCATCAGGGTGCAGGCAGGCACCCTGTGTCCCCATCTCCACAGGAGGGGGCACAGTGGAGGCAGCCCCAGCACCTCCGACCTGCTTGACCCAAGAGGATGGCTGATGGATGTCTCCTCCCCACCTCCAAAACCCTCCTCCTGCCCCATCCAAAGGGGGAGAAAATGATGTTTCCTTCTGTTCAGAGGCAAATCACACCCTCTCCACTCTGTAAAATCGGGTCAGCATGACCGTGCTGCCCACGTCACAGCTGAGAGATTGCCAGAGCAGTGCTGCTCCCAAAAGGCTGGGACAACCTCTGCCATGGACTCCCTCTCCAGTTCACAGCTCTGCGCCTTCCCCATCACATTCAAACACACACATTTATTATCTTCATTAACATCACATTCAAACACACACTTTATTATCTGTACATCCCACGGTGAGGGATGGGGGTTGCAGAGAAGCCCTCCATCCACTGAGGGCTGCCTTGGTAGCATCCACTGTGTTTTCCTTCCAAATTATTCTTGCCTTGCACCCAAGGATTAAATAGAAGGAACGTGGCCTATTTTGTAAGGAACGCTGAAAGCTAAGCAGGTTATTTTTAAAGCTTGTGGTTGTATTCCCACTGCTGGGAAACATCCACATCCTGAGGTCAGGGGAGGACAGGCAGCAACCTGGAAAACAGTAGCGTGGATGGTGGCTCTCCAGGGCCAAGCTCTGCTTGCAGGTTTAAATCCTCCAAGTTGGTGGCTCTGCTTGGGTTATGCAGGGTTTGCTGGATCAGACACAGCTTCAGTGCTGCCCACTGCCATCCACCCACCTGGAGAAGGGCTGAGGGTCCAGGTGGGCTCCTGTCTGGACATGAAACAGGCAAACCACAGCCCAAACAAGCTCAAAAGTTTCCTGGCTAAGCCCTTTGGCTTCCCCAGCACCCTCCCCTGCCAAGCTGGCTATAAAGTTTGCAGAGGTTTAGGGAAGATCATGGCATGATTTGGGTTGGAAGGGACCTTAAATGTCATCTTGTTCCACCCCCCTGCCATGGGCAGGGACATCTTCCACTATCCCCGGTTGCTCCAAGCCCCATCTGACCTGGCCTTGAACACTTCCAGGGATGGGGCAGACACAGCTTCTCTGGGCAACCTCTGCCAGGGCCTCACCACTCTCACAGGGAAGAATTTCTTCCCAATATGCCATCTAACCCTGCCCTATCTCAGTATGAAGCCATTCCCCCTTGGTCTGTCACTCCAGGCCCTTGTCCAAAGTCTCTCTCCAGCTCTCCTGGAGCCCCTTTAGGCACTGGAAGGGGCTCTGAAGGTCTCCCCAGAGCCTTCTCTTCTCCAGGCTGAACAACCCCAGCTTGGCCAGCCTGTCCTCAGAGAGTACTTTGGAAGTGGGAAGGGAACCATAAGCCCACAGCCATCTCACCTGTGGCAGGCTGGATCCAACACCTCTCCTGGGTTAATAACACCAGCACTGTAGTCCCAGTTCAGGTTTCAGCAAGAGCTGGAGGCACTAGGGCTCACAGGCAGGGATGAACACAGAGCAGAAGGGGAGGCTGTCACAGCTCTGGTGACTGAACCAGTTTCCAGGCACCTATTCAAATGCAAACAAAGAATCCGCCCAGGGCAGGTAAGGATCCTTTTGCTTGGAAACCCTCCTGGCAAGCTGTAGCCACACAAATGCAGGGTTCAACAAATGAGGGACTTTATTCCCAGCCAGGCTTCAAGCCAGCACAGGAGACTGGGACCCGTGTAAGCATCATACCCCCAGCCTCCAAAATCCCACCACAGCTGCAGGACTTTGGGACATTATTCACACTTCTCCTGGGGACAGAAGCACAGCAAGAACATGAACCCCCCTGAGCTCAGGCAGGCAGCCCCACACTGTTTTGGGGCAAGATGATCCAGGGCTCCTGCCTCCCTGTCCCAATCCCAAAACCTCCCTAGCAGCTCTCACCAACCTCAGGAAATGCTCTAGACTTCACTGGGAGCCCAGAGGGGCATCCCGGGGTCCCTTCAGGGGGCATGGGTCACACTCCCTGATGGCAAGGAATGAGGAGCAGTCTCCTGGGAGAGCAGGAGGACACCTATTCCTCCCAAGGCAGGTGAAGGGGGGGGTCAGGTTCTCCTAGGAGTTGCCCTACATGGGAAACTCAGCCCCAGACCTCAGGCTGGCAGCTGCATAGTGTGACAAAGTCAGCACCTCCACTCAGCTCCAAGCCAAAGTCAGTACCCCAGGATGCTGGGAACCCTCCCTGCTACGTGCCTGCCTGACTCAGGCCAGTCATGCCCACAGCCTGCAGAACAGGCTCAGCTGGCAGCAAGCCTGGCAGGACAGGATGGAGCCTGGGGGAAGAGCTGGCACGTCACCCTGGGAGCACCTCAAACAAACCCACACAGGGACAGTGTTGTCCCCAGGAATCTGGCATCTCTCCCACCATCTTGCCCATGAGAGATAAAGTGCATGGATTTGAGCTGCAGAGCCAGAGGAGCTTCACAGGTCTTAGGGAAAGTATGCAGTGGTGAGGACCTGGACACCAGAAAGCATCCCCCATTGCAGCTGCTACCCACCAAGGCTCTCCAGCCCAGCTGCAATTTAAATTTTAGACAAATTAAGCCTGACCTCTGTTTCCACACCCAGCAACTCCAAGGCAGATAGACAATGACAGAGGGATAACCACATCCCAGAGCCTGGGCTCTCCACCCCTCCTGCACAAATAACACACCCAGAAACACAGCTCCCCCGTAGCACAGGACCTACTTCCCAGGCTCAGTGCCTTCCCAGCAACCAGAGAGGGAATCCAGGCTGGCACAAAGAGCTGGGACAGGGTCTGGACCTGAGCATCACATTGGCTACAGCTGGGAGGGGAAACCAGCAGCAGGGGAACAAGGAGGGCTGGCACATCCCTATTAAAGGTTGTTCCCAGCTCACTCCCTAGCACAGGCACTACTGATCTCCCGCAATTGCCCTGGGCTGGGAGCAGGAGGCAGCATTTATAGCCACAGCCAAGAGAACCAGCTGGTGCTCGTATCCTTGCCTGGAGGAGCCGACTCAGGGTCATGCTTCGGAAATATTTGAGAAGCACGGCAATTAAAGGATTGGAGCTGGCAGTCTGAGCTGTCTCCCTCTGCCTGACACATTGCCACCCCATGCCTGCATCCACCTGGAATTGCTCCTCTACACAGGCACACACTCATCCACCTCCTGACACACTTGGGATGGCAGTGAAATCCCACAGCCCCATCCCCAGAGCTGCTGCCAGCCCCAACAGGCAGGCAGGACTTCTCCCTACTCCCCCGGGACTGCTCCCTGCTCCCCGTTGGCAGCCGTGCCTCTCCAAGATGCTTGCCAACATGTGCCAGCAGCATGGCATGCATGGCAAGCCCGATCCTGCCTGGCTGCCCCACCAAGAGCTGCACTCCCCTTTGCCGTGGGAGGAGCTGGGTTGGGTCACTGCAGTGCTTTGGTGGCTGATCCCGAATTATCGAACACTGGTGTGTCCATGTGGCTCACAAGCCTCTGATCAGCAGCTCTGCTTGTCCCAGCATCCCCATCCTCTACCTTCCAGCTGCTTGGCTGGTCCTCATGGGAACCCAGCTGATCCTGCACCCAAAATGGGTCCTCCCACCCTGGAGCATCTTGTTGGTCTCAGGATGCACGTACAGGGGTTGGATGCAGGCTGTCCCTACAGCCTGCTGGCCTGGCCCATATACAAACCGTGGTCTCCCAGAGCTCAATCCAAGGTGGAGAGGGGCCTGAAGAGAAGCAAGACGAGAGCTCCCAGAAGCCACCCGCAGGAATGGAAGCAACAATGGGCTTTCTGGTGCTGGCTGCAGGGCTCTCCAGGGTGGATGCCCCAGCCACCGCCACCACTTCCAAAACCTGCTGTCATGCTGGAGAGACTTGCACAGGGCCTTGGCCTTGGCTTTCCCATGCAGGAGCAGCCTTGGGAAGTGGGAGGAGGAAGCGGATCTGCTCTGTGTTCCTGCCGTTTCCTCTCAGCCCTGTGCTTTTTTCTGGCTTTTTATCTCTTGTGGGAGCAGGGAACAGCCTGTGTCACAGATAATAAAGGCACTGACTGACACCACGGGTGCACCCCCAGGCCCCCCTCCGCTGTCCAGCAGCAGGAGCACTGGGACAGCCCGGGATGCTGGGAGCCAGTTTCATCCTCCAAGCCTTGGCACATTTGCAGGATGCTGCTGGAGATGTGGAGGGAAGCAGGAGGATACTCAAGTCCCCCATCTGGCCAAGGCAGGGTCAGGCCCTGAAATGCTTGCCTGTGGGCAGAGAGGGCCCTGCTGCCAGGTGGCAGAGGGAAAAGGTAGGAATGTTAATGGGATACAGATTCTCCCAGCCAGTGGTTTTGCTGTGCCCTGGGAGCATGGTCCAGACATGAGGGTACAGAGAGGGATGGCTGGTGGGGCTGGGAGACCTTTGTGGGTGCCGAAGGACCAGAGAGAGCACTGATGCACCCTTG